GTACCCCCCCTCCCCCCGACGAGTGTGACGTCATTTATGGATGACCCCTAAGTATTATATCAAATGTATAGTTTGTATTCTTTTGCGCAATTTCCGACCGGTTCTCAAAAGCCTGTAACTTTAGTACCGTTTAAATTAAACAGTTATAATAGTAACATAGACTTGAATGACGAAGGTCTAAGCTGTTTTAGCCACGCCCACAAATTTTCAAAAGGCCATATCTTAGCTCCTAATTAAGCTAGAGACACAAAATTGGTATCAATGTGTAGGGAAAAAATCCTGTTTCTTTGTGGTATAATTTTACTTGAAATTAGTGGAGTTTAAAAATTACGAGCAACAGCCTAGTTATATGAGCGAAATTTCCCATTTGATTATTAGATTGTATGCGTATGTTTCTATCAACTTTTGAACGTTTTTCAGTAGACGGAACAGGTACTTCACTCTATTTCTGCTGGAACACAATAACCTGAAAGCTGTGTCAGTTAGATTGACGGAATTTCATCTTTAAGTATAAGATCTTATACTCTTGCTTCTGTCAAATTTTCAGTGATAACCATTATCGGAAGTGGTACTTGCGCTTTTTTTTCCGATTTGCCAAAACCTTAAGGATTTGATCGTTATATTATTTTTGAATACTTTACTAAATTGTAATGAGCGACCCACCCTTTTCATTTTAGTTATATAATTTAATGGTGCTTCATTATTATATATTTAAAGACAATCATTTTTTAATTTCCTTTTAGGGGCATAAAAGCTTGTTATTAAAACGTTTTTAATGAACATTTTGTATCATATTCTCATAAAGTAAACTGGAGGAAATTTTCACTTGAAAAAAAAACAAAAACGGCGGTCCAGTCACAAACTTTTTTAAAAATACAAATTAAAGGACATAACCTTTTTTTTTTTTTGTTATTTTTTTTTGCTGACATTCTTAAATGGCTATAATAAGGCCCCTATTGTAAGGGTTAAGTTGACAGATAGATAAATGCAAATACATCAGTACTCAAGCACGGCCATTAATATGTATGCAAATCGTTTCAATAGAAATACCCATCTCGTCCCCCACCGCTTCCCTCCATCCTTCAATCCAAGTGGGCATTGAGCGAGCAATTAACATAACATTTAGTCCAATCGAAGCTAAATTTATTCACACAATTTATAGGGGTAAAGAACACGCTAACACATAAAATCAATTGAAATCATCGATTTTTTGGGTAATATAAACTACTTCATCAAGCTACAGACCACGTATATTTTAATTTAAAATAATGCTACCGTCATTGAACATGGTGGGTTTTTCTACTCTAAACTACCATATACCTTAATATTGTTAACACTGGCAATGAAATTTACGATCACGTGACCTTTTACATACAGCACAAACACTATTCAGCAATTATAAAAAAAAAAGATTTTTAAAAATATGGGGTCATCCATAAATGACGTCACGCTTTTTTGACGATTTTTACCTCCCCCCTCCCCTCTGTCACACGTTGTCACAAAAAGCCAGACCCCCCCCCTAAAATGACGTCAGATCTCAACCTACAACCCCCCCCCCCCCTCAAAATTACAGTTGAATTTTTTTTAAAACATCGATATTTTTCTAAAATCTTGTCTAAACTATTACAATTTATTAAAACAGTTATCTAAAACGCGAAATAACGTATAAAATTCGTTTTCTAACATTGCTTTTTTATAATGCAAAAGTGTGATGTCGCACCATCTGAACCCCACCTTCCCTCATCACACACCTTTACAAAATTACGGACCCCCCCCCCTTTCACCTACAAGTGTGACGTCATTTAAGACGATCCCGCCGGCAGAGGCGTAGCGACCCTTCACGGCGCGCGGGGACAAACTTTCAATTTGCACCCCTACTCTCAAACTTTCGATTTGCACCCCCCCCCCTCCCGTCAAACTTTCGATTTGCACCCCCCAAACTATTTATAATTTGTTTTTCCAACCCATTTTGGCGCCCCCTAAGGTCGGCGCCCGGGGACATATGTACCCCCGCCCCCCTCGCTAAGCCTCTGCCCTCCGGTACAAAAGGTGGATGCGAATGTAGTTGGTCTGACAAAGCTGAAAAGATACACGGACGTGTAATCATTAAACTGAGTTACAGCTTTAGCTAGACGACCCAGTATCCAGTTAGAAAAAGGTTCTATAATGACGGAAGGTGATTAACGTGCACCCAATGCGGTCATACAGCAAAGCCTGGAGTATTGTATATATATATATATATATATATATATATATATATATATATATATATATATATATATATATATATATATATATATATATATATATATATATATATACACAACCAGTGGCGTAGCGAGGTCGGGTGTCACCCGGTGCCTCACTTAATGGTGTCACCCCCCAGAGGCGTAACGACCCTTCCTGGGGACAAAATTTCAATTTTCGATTTGCACCCCCCCCCCTCAAACTTTCGATTTGCACCTAATATGTACCCGGGGCCCGGGCGCCGACCCTAGGGGCGCCAAAATAATCTCATTTTAGCTACTATTTTTAATTATAAATATAGAAAAATATATGGGGGGGGGGCGCCAAATGGAAAGTTTGTCCCGGGGCGCCGGGAGAAGTCGCTACGCCTCTGCGCATGCATGGTCTAAGGCTAGTCGACTTGCGTCTAGATTTCTATGTGAAATTATTGTGGAGTAATATTAAAATTTAAATTTTAATGCACTTACTTTATATGCTGTATCTATATCTTCATCTTTTTCCACGTCCAATTGTATTATTTTCACTGCGGCATTTTCTGCAGCAATTTTCCGTAATTCTGTAGCTGTTGACGGATTTCTGCACGCAGCGACCACTAATTCTGGAGGTGTTGGTAGGTTCAAGAACTGTTTAACAAATTCTAGTCCGATTCCACGAGATGCTCCGGTTATCAACACTGTCTTTGGCGACAACGGCATTTTAATTTTTAATGGAGAAACATACACATGCGCTCTTGTTTGTCACATAAAAGTTGAATGCCATCTCATACTACTCATACATATGCAAGATAACAAAAACAAAACATGCACGCATGTGCAGAATTATAAATTTAAAAAAATGGCATGATTCAGCTTGGTTTGCTAAAAATAGCGAGTTCGATGGCTAGGCCAAGGCTTATTCACTTATCTGTCGTGAGCTACACTATTTTTAAATGGGGGTTGTCCTTAAACTTTAAACGACGTCACACTACTATCGGGGGGGGGGGGGGGGGCTGAATTTGGTAAATATTTTTTGAAAGAAATCGAGGCTTAAATAGAGAAAAAAAAAACCCCACCGGTTTTGAGAGGGTTGTCGAGTGAGCAGTAAAGTGTAACGTTATTTTAATTTTAGAGGCGAGGTTCAAGCTGTGATGATGGGGAGGGAGGGGGAGTAATCGTCAAATAAGCGTAACGTCATTTACGAATAAACCCATATGCAAATAAAAGGTAGTATTGATCTCTACAATATGTTTTTGTTACATTACTTCAACATACACAGTTCCCTCAGGTAACATTGATACTTTATTATACTAGACACGACTTGTCTCTCGGTTTATCGGTAGTGAACTGCCTAACAGGTACACATTAACTACACATCGCGGATGACACAGTGAACACTCAAGGGGCGCAACCATAATACAAGGGACGTAACAATCACTTACTAGACATAATCTATATATATAATTCTCTTCTGGGAGACGCTATAAAACAAGCTGTAAAACGCGCTCCCTACCTCCCCACCCCTACATGGTCTTCGTGAACTGTGTTCACTCTTAATGTTTACAAGCAGAGTCGGGTTTAGTGACGACTATTAGGGGCAGATAATTTAGTTTGAAACGATTTTAAACTTAGGGGGGGGGGGGAAGGAAAGGGGGGGGGGTTATGGTCCTTAACGAGCGACTGATAGTGTTTTAAAGAAATATTTTCAGTGGCAGCGTTGGTACTGTCGAATTCACAAATTATGAATTACTGAAAAGTAGAAAAAAAAACAACTAAATAGCGGCGTATGTTATGCCGCGGGCCGGCTCGTGAGTAATAATGTAACAGTTTATTTCGCGCAGTAATTTTTATCCAGTGACTGAATATGAATATGTAATTGAATTTGTTTTAAAAATATTCTGATTAAAATAAATTACTTTTGGCCTGCAGATAACTTAAAGAAACTATGTGCTTGACTACTGCTGAGGCTATACTTATCTATTGATGTGGTAATGGTAAAGGTAGAATTTGCTGTGAGTGTTAGAGTAGAGATATTCTGTCAAAGTTGAAATCAGTGTTTCTTCCAGACTTTTTTCTCCGGGGGGGGGGGGGGGGGGGGGAGGGCACGGGGGGGGGGGGGGCACTTGAAATCTTCGGGGGGGCGGGGGGGACGGGGACACTGTTAAAAGTATAGATTTTCTATATAAATTATATAATTTCATTTCGTTCGGGGGGTGGGGGGGGGGCGGTAAAAAATTTTCGGGGGGGGGGGGGGGGGGGCTTTGCCTCCCCGAAAAGATGTCTGGAAGAAACTCTGGTTGAAATGTTAATGTTTACATTTACTTACCGCTAAATTGCATTGAAATTTAATTTAATATCAATATAGTAATTAGATGACCTCTAGGAATAAATAAAAAAAAACATAAAGATGTTTAGTTAGTTAGTTTTATTATTGGTGGACTCAAAATTAAGTAAATATCTAAAGCCATGCTGGTTGGAACATTGTCAGCACAGATTTTGATTTTGTCCATGGTGTTGACAATAAAACAAATGCATTGGTGGACACATTACTGTTATATATTATGGTCCATTTTTTTGTTGTTCCAACTCAGCAGTATTTTATTTTTCTCTACTGTTGTTTGTCACTTCTCTACTGGCCAAAGATGATCCTGAGTAACAAGATCTTAGAAATCCTTTGTTTTGGTTAAGGGTTGATTATAATTAATGACTCACACTAGGGGTGGAAGGAGTTAAAGAAATCAATGTGGAATCCCATTATGCTTCCAAATAATATTTTATTTATCTTTGTATTGTTTTTTTTCATGTCCAAATAAGCTTTAAAATATTTAAAAATACAGGATAGATCAATTAATTATAAATGAACAAATACTGAGAAATCTTAGCTAAAAATGACTTACAAAATCAATTTTGACACACACAAAATTCAGTGAAATTTATAATATAATAAATCTCATATAAAAAATAGACTAGAAAAATAATTTACATAAAGTTTTTATAATGCCGCTTTTATCATAATACATTTCAGTGAACCCATCACATTATTGCTTAAAGCCATGGAAACATAATTACAATAAATATTATATAAATGAAAAGCATTAAACTAAGAAGTAGAAGTACAAACAATAGTCCATTAAAAAAATATTTGCTACAAAATCTTTCAAAGAAAGTGTAAATGTCTCATAGAATCTTCCTCAAGCTTGAATTGTGAACATTTTTGGTCTTTTATAAACAGTGACAAAATAATTACACAGAAGTAACATATTAATTCTTATTAGTTACTAATTTTATACAAGGTGAAAGAAGAAACTGCTGTGTGATCCAGCTGTTCGGCCTATGTTGACTTCCTTACTTTAAGCTCAACTACTTAAAAAAAAAATACTTATGTTTCTTGAAAGTATTCAAAACAGGTTGATGCTTAAATGCTGTACAATCGAATAGTAAAATTTCCAAAATTATTAGACACTTGCCGAAACTTATAGTAACGTAGAGAAAAAGTATAAAACTGAAAACATGCATATAGGGCACTAGCCCTTGTAAAGGCACATGAATATTAAATTATCAAGACATATTTGACAATATCATGTCTATTATGAAAAAAATATTACTGTTCAGACAAATATACAGACATTTTTTTTCTTTACCTACTTTGCATTTCAGAAACATTTCTGCCTGAACAAGATCACATTTTTCAATAACAAAAACAACATGATTTAGAATTTAATAATGTTTCCCTTGAAATCAACCAGTTTCCCATGTGTTTTCAGTCCGGCCTCTCCAATAACTTTGAGACAATCAGCGACACTTTCCTCCTTACCAATGGGAGCCGCCTCAGTGCCCATGTCGGTACGCACCCAGCCAGGGTGGATGGCAGTAACAAGAATGCCAGAATCTTTTAGTTCTCTGCTTATCATGATGGTTGCCATGTTTAAAGCAGTTTTTGAACACCTTGAGGTAAGAATAAAAAAATAATGATTAAAACATTTACAAACATTAAATTATAGTAAAATAAATTACTGATGTTAGTTTAACATCTTACAAGTATACATGTAAATGATGTACAAATTACAATATATGATGGTTTTATGAAAATGAAAACTATGAATGAACAAATACTACTTTATAAATTTTCTTTAACTTCACATTGTTTATAAAAGTCTATAAGCATTGAAAGAGAGAGTAATATAAGGGTAGTAACTCATTAGAATACTCTTCTTCACACATGTTTAAAAGTAAAACCTTTTTGCAAAGATTTATGAGGCTTCTAGTTCATTACTCAAAAAATTAATATCCACATAATAATTTAAAATAGAGGTTAACACTGACAGAGAAAAAAGTATAAAGGACTAGAGAAAAAGTCAGGAGATATAAATCATTAGTGCTGAATAAAACAAGTTAATAAAAAGTCTAGTGACAATTTAAGCGCAATTTCCTTATGTTATCCATAACAATTTTTTATTTTTTTTGTGACTGAACGAAAGGATATTTTTTTGCGCTAAAAACCTACACGATGCTCAGTTTAAATTAAAAATATCATCCTAGGCCTACACGATGCTCAGTTTAAAAATTCTTAATTTTTTGTGACCGAACGAAAGGATATTTTTGAAAACTTTCTTCGGCAATATTGTTCTAAATTATGGCAGGAATCGATTGGTAAATGTTTCAAGTCGCTAAGTGGTCTGGTTGCCGAGATATGGGCCAAAAACTGCATTTTTTTTCGAGGTTTTTTGGCTTTTCCGGGAAATCCAGTAAGGAATTCCGGGAATTTTTTTGGCCCACAATCATCCTCGGAACTTGCTTAACATATTTGCTTTTGAAACTAGTCCTCGATATTGCTTCGTTGAGGAGGAGATACGACTTAAAGCTGCGGACACACATCCATCCATCCATCACCAGAAATGACGAGTTAATAAACGCAATTCTCCAGAATGGAAATTGCGCTAAAAAATGACCAGGTTAAAGGCAGCTAGAAATTGTGTTGGCCTCTCCTCCATGGACCAACTCACCAGCAGAACAGATTCATAATTTTTTCCCCAGTTTGTGCCCAAGACACATAAGGCAGATCAAGCAGAGTTTATCTGTTTCAAATCTCAGCAAACAAGGGGATAGTGTGGTCAGCACTATGCTCAGCCTCCATTGTTTCACTAAAATGAGTCAGATATCCATCAACGCTGGGTGAACCCAGTGACATTCTACAGATTTAAACCCGGATTTGAACTTTACATTTTTGGATTAGTGGTCTAGCTCTCTACCACTAGGCCATGCCATCCCATGATTTTACAATTGAAAGCTTTTTCCCCATGAGCCTAACTAGAAACTTTTGGGTTAGCAGTCAAACACTCTACCATTTGACCACACTGTCCCTATGGAACAGATTAGCTACAGATAAACAATAGATTGATTTAGGGGAAACTCTTTCAAGCTAATAGCACATAATTTTTCAGGGTTTTCTTTCTTTGCAGATATACTCTCATCCAAAGGCAATAAAGGGCATACAAATATTACAAAGTGTTTCTTTATAGCTCATATTTAAATTATATTAAATTTCATGCCACTTTTCAATTATTTTTTTTACTTTAAGAAAAGCGCTCTTGGATGCCATATATAAATTACTTATGAATTCTGAATTTTATGGAACTAAGCAGTAAATAAAAAAAAAAAGCTTTACTAATTTAAGTTTTTAAGGAATATTTTGAACTAATGTAAATTGTATGATTCAAATAACACGATTAAATAATTTTGGTCGCAAAGTATTTACTTGTATGGGATCCATGCTCCGTAGCCATTTTTAAATATGAAATCTTGTGATCCCAATAGTGCAGAAATCATAACCACTCCTGCCCTGCTAGCACTAAGCTCTTGTGACTTTTCCTGAGCTGCGGCTTTAATAAGAAGCGGTAGAAACCTCTGCACAATCATTATTGGACCTGTTTTGTACAAGGCAAAATAAATAAACTTTAGACTAAAACCATAATCTATATATACATATAAATGAAAGTATGTCGGTGGACTTGTGCGTTTGTCTTTTATCCATAGCTACACCTTTCATCAGGTCACATTTTTTCACTGGATGGGGGGGCACATAAAATTTGTTTAAAGTAGCCTATATATTTTTCTATACAAATTATATATAATATACTTTTTAAATGCGTCCTGAAGGGGGTGGGGGGGGGGGGGGGGGGGGGGGGGGTGAAGTGAGAGTCACAGAGTCATGTGACCTGGAACACCCCAAGTCCCCATCAGCACTTTGGCATAATTTTTTTTCTTATGCCTTATTTTTAAAATTTCAAATTTTTCGCTGAAAATAATTGAATATTTAATGCAATTTATTTTAACATATGCTTAAAATAGCTTACTTGTGGCATTAATGCTGAAGTGTCTCTGCATGTTATCTCTGGTGGTGTCTTTCAAGTTTCCTTCAGTACTTCTGTCTAAAATTCCAGCATTATTGATCAGCAAATTAAGACCTTTATCCCCTAAAACTGCTTCTGTCTCCTGAAAATTTGATATCAAGTTAACCTTTAAGAGTGCATTTTATTAGATTTTAATATTGCTAAGACATAAAAATAGATGAACTTGAAAAGAATTAGTTGTTAGATGTGATAGTAGAAGTGTCTTAGTGAACAATGCTTATACTTGTATCAGGGCCAGTAAATGTTTGTTTTACCAACTTCAAAATAAACTTTCCTTTGTTTAAATTTGATGGTTAAAATATTGGTCGTACTTTAAATCATGAAATCATTTAACCTCGGAGGAGGGGTGGGTGTGATATGGGATTCCCGCAAAGACATGCATAAAAAAACCAATGAAAGCTGAGACCTGTTGACATTGAAGCTTACTCACTGTCAGCTTGTTAGTTTTCTCAAGCCATAAGTATTGCTAATCAGTTTAACATTGAGCAAAATCAGCAAATTTTGGTCAATATTAGATGCATTGATCAATTAGACAATTACTTCATCACTCACTTATTCACTTCATACAATGCCATTAAATTTTGTAAATAGGCCCATAGATACAAATACAATTTTTTTTTGCATTAATTAAACCCAAGTACTGTAATCTTGTTGAAATAAATAACCATAATTTATTATTATAGGCCTAATAAATAATATTTAGCATGCAAGTAAAATATTTAGACTAGTGTTTTTTGTTTATAGGCAAGGGCAAGAGCAGTTGTTCTTCCAGACTTTTTTCTCCGGGGAGGGAGGGAGGGGGGAGTCACTTGATACTTTCTGGGGGCGGACAACATTTTCCAGGGGGGTGGACACTGGTTAAAATATGTTTTCTATATAAATTCCATTACATTTGTGGTGGTGGGGGTGAATCATACCCCCCCCCCCCACCCAAAAAGATGCCTGGAATAAACTCTGAGCAAGAGGTATTTTGATGTGTGTATGATCGTCCACAAAAGTCAATGTGGATGTTTAAATCATATGGACATTATGGATGTCCTAGAGACATTTTCTAAGTCTCAATAAAAACTAAATTTTAATAAGAGTCTAGATCTAGATCTAGAATATTCTAGATCTACTCTTAACTCTAAAAAATACTAAACTAAAGTAAATACTCTAACTAGTCTAACTTACTCTAAAATAAGTTGACAAATGTCAATGTGAATGATTGTTGTTTAAAATGTCAATAGTCAATGATAGTTTAAAGTTTAAAGTTTAATCATATTATTATTTTTATTACCCAACGGAATTGTATGTTCTTACGACTTACTTTAAATGCTGTATCTATTTCTCCATCATTTTCAACGTCCAATTTTATTACTTTCACTGCGGCATTTTCTGCAGCAACTTTCCGTAATTCTGTAGCTGTCGAAGGATTTCTGCATGCAGCAACCACCTTTTCTGGAGGTGTTGGTAAATTTAAGAACTGTTTGACAAATTCTAGTCCCAGTCCACGAGATGCTCCGGTTATCAACACTGTCCTTGGTGACAACGGCATTTTAACTTTTAAAGACGGGAGTGCAAAGCGCTTTAAATTTAAGTTTTGAGTTGTGAAAAATCAACGCGCAGATTCCAAAGTGAACTAGACTAGACTTTGACTACTAGATCTATGATCTAAATTACATAAATGCGTGTTTTGCAAATCATATTGGGGTTAAAGGTTAGACAGGGTCAAGGGTTGAATAACAGGGAGATCTTCCTTGTTGATAGTATATCATTGTTGAAATATTTTAATTTAGCCTGTATCAGTTTGGTACATTATGATAAAAAAACATAAATTAATCATTTTAACTTAAACTATAAAACAAAGCAAAAAATAATATTTTTTATAAAATTATAAATGAACAAACATAGATCTAAATATAAATTCGTAATCTCAACAAAATAATTTCTCCCCAATGGGTTTTGATAAAACCTAAACCAGAACAATTAGAAATGACGAAACTCGAACTCCAAGGATGAGTTCATTCATAATCATAATGTCAATATCCATTACATTAATATAATGATCATGTCTAAAAGAACTAGATTCTTGTTGTATATATAGTATATAGATCTAGTCAGTATTATTTGATGACAGATCTAGTTGTGGAATTCATCGGATTACTTCTGAAGTTCTGAGTCTAAAATCTAACTCAACTAACTGAGACGTGGTCTGGTGGTCCGTGGTTTGGTACTATTTATTTTATTTGGTAGTGGTAAGCAAAAGCCTATTCAGTACTAGATCTATTCACTATTCATTCAAGCTGCACATTTTTTTACTACTACAAGTGAGTGGTAACCCTCCTGTGTAGCAGTAGCGTAGCGGGGGGGACAGACATATGTCCCCGGGCGCCGAACTTAGGGGGCGCCAAAATGGGTTGGAAAAATAAATTGAAAGGTTGAGGGGGGTGGAAATCGAAAGTTTGAGGGGGGGGGTGCAAATCGAAATCTTGAGAGGGGTGCAAATCGAAAAGTTTGTCCCCGTGCACCGGGAAGGGTCGCTACGCCTCTTCTGTGTAGTCCTTGCCTCCTCTACTCAAGTCCTAATGAAATACTGAAATAAAACTCTTAGAGTTAGTACTTTACTAGGATGATATTTCGAGTCGTCCCTTTAAATCCCGGTCAGAACGTCCCCCCGTCGTGGTCTCAACCAACCGGCGGGCTTGGAACTACACGTAGAAAAAATGGCTTTTTCTGCCCTTTTTAGCTCCAAAAACACGTCGCGTGACGTCATCGTGACGTCAGCCGCCAACCAAAACGCGGAGAAAGCGCGTGTTTGATTGGTTGGCGGCTGACACTATAAAATCCTCAAGGGACGATTCGAATTGGTATACCATACATGCCCACATTTAACAAAAATGTAATAAAATTTAATTTTCAATATACTAAATTATCTCAGACATCTGTTATATCAATGTCTTAATTATATGTAGTTGTTAAGCTAACTTATTAGTATTATTCTACATCCTTAAATGTTAAGACAATAGGCAGGCATACAATTAACTTGATAAAATGACTTGTACAACCAAATTCCTGTATTTGTCAGAGACTGGTAGGAAGAAACTTCCAAAATGTTGTACTTATGAACATTAACATTAAGTGATCATAAGTTGTATAAAGTTCAATAAGTATTCTAATGTAAGGCTGTGGTCTACTCTGATATTTAGTTTGGGGCTGAAGATAGAGTTTGGGTAAAGAAACTAGAGTACTAGAGCCTAAAATGGTGTTTAGCTAATCAATAGTTTACAATTTATTTTGTCATACAGTTTTAATCTTTTTTTTTTTAAGATCTACATTCTATTCCTGCAGAAATACAACATGGAGTAACAGTCTTGAGTAAAATTACTTATCAATTTGAAACTAAATTTTACTTTAAGTTTAAGCAATAACTTCCAGGACATGACAATCAAAAACCATTTACAAGTGAATTGTTAAATATTATATTTTTATTTAGTTTAAATCGCTCATTTGTACTCAAACCTATTATACTCATCACTCACTTTAAACAAAATTTAATCTCTAGTAGTGTTTGATTCAACCAAGAGTTGTTCATTGTGACACTCATTGACAAGAATTGAAAATGATCACAGATAAATTGCCAAGTTCTTTAGATTGTGAAAATACCCGTAATGGAAAACTGTTAAATGGTGATCTTCCTAATGCTCAGACAAAGGTTCCTCATGTAAGCATTCCATAGAGAAAATATACATTTTGTAAAAATATTAAGTGGTATTTAATAAGTTGACTCAGTTGACTCGTATCTTCCATTGTTTAATCAACTACATGGGTTTGTTTTTCAAGGTAAAAATTCAACTTCCTTTAGTTGAATCATCAACTCAAACAGACCAAGAACTGCTTAATGAGCTCAAGTATTACAACAAGCTTGGTTTCACCAGTTTGAATGCATATCCTGCTTCCTATGACAACCATTACTCTGCAGAATCTCAAGTAGAGTCTCAAGTTATTGACAGTATGGCCCCATCAATCAGTAATGGACATAACGGTATAGCAAAATCCATTTTAGTGGACTCAAAATTGAATTCTCAACAAAGGAAAAGTGGTCTGTCGTGTTATTTAATTGCTCTAAGGCCGTGGTCGTTCACTGCTTCAATTACACCGGTCGCACTTGGAAGTGTTCTGGCATATAAATCATTGGGAGTGTTTAGCTTTGGGATTTTTTTTACAACAATGTTCACAGCTCTGTGTGTCCACGCTGCAGGGAACATTGTCAACACATATTTTGATTTTGTCCGCGGCGTCGACAATAAAAAAAGTGATGACAGGACATTGGTGGACAGTATATTGCTGCCTGGTGATGTTGTAAGACTTGGGGCCGTGCTTTACATTGCTGGTTGTGTTGGGTTCTGGATTCTTTATATTCTATCCCCTGCCAAAATGGAACATTTGGCTCTGGTTTATTTCTGCGGGTTATCCAGCAGCTTTTTGTATACGGGTGGACTTGGGTTAAAGTATATAGCACTGGGTGATATTCTGATTGTCCTAACGTTTGGTCCGCTGGCCGTGGTTTTCTCCCATCTCAGCCAAACGGGTCAGCTGTCTCTCATCCCTCTTATATATGCTATACCCCTAGCGCTAAACACTGAAGCCATTCTTCATAGCAACAACACCAGGGATATGGAGAGTGATCGCATGGCCGGGGCTATAACTCTGGCCATCCTCCTAGGCAAGACAGGCTCCTACTGCTTGTTCTGTTTTCTACTGTTTACACCTTATTTTCTGTTTTTCACCATAGGCCTGCATTATTCCCCTTGGCTGCTCATGCCCGCCTTGTCAATATTCCTAGTGTTTAAGCTGGAGAAAAGCTTCAGGAAAGGCAACCTGACAGACATGCCTCACCAAGTAGCTCATCTTAATTTAGTGATGGGCTTGTTGTATATTGCCGCGCTTTACTTGGCTGATTCTGGTTCACTTCCATCCATGACCCCGCTCTCCTGATTTTAAACTAATTTTATGACATAAATACATTTGGTTCATGTGTTTTAGGTATGTATATGCTTTTGAAAGTGTCAGTTAATTTTCTTTTGTTGTTGCTTGGGCCTGTATTGAGATTTTGTTGAACTTTATTATTGCTGCTTGTTATGCTTGGACACAATTAAGTCTAAAATAGAGTATTTTTTACATAACCAAAGATGCTGTACTGTACTTTTTTAAAAATTATTTTCTTTTGTTGTTTGTGCTGTAAAGTATTACATTAATTAAGCATTTTCAATTTGTTTGATTCCAAGTTTTTAATTGCATATTATTAATTTATGCTTTTCAGTAGTGTAAAGTCCTTAATCTATTTTTTGTTGTTCAAACTGAGTATTTTAATAACCATTGGTTTGTTATGAAGAGAGATGTGTTTATTATGGTTACTTTACTAGTCAATGGGTTTATTATTAAGATCTTCTAGTGTCAAATTTTCTTTTTAGAGGAGAATGCATGAAATCTGCTGAGCAAGTTTTTTTTTTACAGTGTGCCTGATTTTTAAAGTAACCACAATTCATTGTAATATGAACAGTCTCAGAAACTACTTGTTTGAACTCTGACTGAAGGAATGACAAATTAAAACGACCTGGCAAAAGTGTTGTGTTTAACTTTATTTGTATAACATTTAGCAAAAGTTTATTGCAAAGTTTGTAAATGAGTTCTAAAAAATGCTGGCTTGGACAAGTTTTACTACATGCCATGCAAAAGTTTAGGTCATTTTGCTTTTATATGTTTATTGAAAATTATTGTCCCATGTTTTAATTTATAAAGTCAAAATTGAGAAAAACTGCCGTCATTTATAAAATTAAATAACATTTTATGTTGTGATGTGAGTCATCATATTTGTTTTGGTCTTTTTTTTGTAGTGGCTGCAGGTTTAATAGTTGTTTCAGAAAAGGTTGTTGCTGATTAGTTTGACAAATGTTCAGATTTAATATTTTAACCAACCTAACATATCATAAGTGTTGATGTTTATCTCTAAAACTTAAATTATTGCTCTACCAGAAATGTTGTTGAGCACATGTTATAATAACAAGCGTGTCTGGTTTCTTATATTAAGTTATATATATAAAAAATATGTTTTTGTTTTCAACATTCAATAAGAGCCCAGTGGCTTCGTCAATGTCATTTTATAATTTATTATGATGGAAAAACTTCAAAATTTGATCACTCAAGTGAGAAGTGAGCTCTTACCTTTATTTACATTGTTTTTGTCAGTGTATGATTTATTAAGTTATGTTATTTTGTGTTAAATCATAAATTACCCAATCCACAAATATTGATCCTCACTGGTGAAGAACTAGATTCAATCTCCTATTTCAGTCTCATCATAAAGACGCTGTCTGAACAGTGCAATGTTATATTGCTATTTACTTTTCCAAACCTATATTAAGCATTTATCAAACCTGGTTGGACTCAGGTCATGTCCATATGACCACATTGCGGGTACACATTGAATTATTGCTGCAGAGGCTGGTTTGCACTGAGCAACAAAATTTTCATAATGTAAATATTTAGATCTAAATGAGTATCAAAATCAGTAGTTCACCACAGTGTTCAAGCATTAGTAAGGACATTGAAAACTATTTTTTGTGACTTTAATAGTTTAAAAATATTTTTTTTGGTGATAGCTGTGTGATTTTATCATTTTGTTACTGTTGTTATCAACCCAGCATTTTATCATTTGCTTACAATTACAAGAACAAACAGGTGTCAGGTTCTGTGAGCCTGTTTTGATGTCATCTTTGTAGTCTAAATAAAATAAGTCTATTCATAATAACACTGTCTTTTGTTTCTATTTAAAAGCAATTGATGGAATCTCAAGTTTAAAAAATATTTTACTTTATTTTTAGAAAAAGTATTTATAATTTATATTCAAATGGTTTGAAATTTAACTAGTAGTAAAACTGAATCAAGTAAAACAATTCTTTACCTGCCCCATGGACCACCATATTCACCCCTGCACTTAAGTACAGAATAGAAAGTTTCTATAAATACCCATAAGGAATTTGGGTCTAAAAGGAAGTAAATGGCACACTGGCATGGCGCAGGTTTGGCTGCAGTGTATATTAAAAAAAAAAAAAAAAAAAACACCCACTTTAATGGTGATTTAAGATCTGTGAATCAATCAGCTTGTTCCATCCCTATCATAATGTACATAGTGAATTAATTTTCTGAGAAATAAAATAGCAATATATTTGTAGGGAGCATAATGATAATTTATATCATGTCAATTATTAGTCGATGATCAAGGGAGAGAACTAAGATTTGCACCAGTACTTTATTCCTCGCAAAGATCCTCAGTCGCACATGACTTCACTGTTGTGTTCTTGCCTAAATAATCGCCTATTTAGGCAGTGGCGTAGCGAGTCGGGTGTCACCCGGTGCGGCACTTAATGGTGTCACCCCCCAGAGGCGCAGCGACCCTTCCCGGGGTCAAATTATCTATTTGCACCCCCCTCAAACTTTCAATTTGCACACCCCTTCAAAGTTTTCTCTATATATTTTGCTATTTTTCGCCTTGGTGTTACCCCCCCCCCCCTAAATTGTGTCACCCGGTGCGGTCCTCCCCCCGCCCCCCCCCCTCGCTACGCCTCTGCATTTAGTTAGGTCTAGGGTGCTAATCGGCCATGCAGACATTCTGTTCTGTTGTTCCTTACCAATGTTATCGTTTGAATAGGTCAGTGTCAAATGGGCTTACTATAACTAGTATAACCACCCACCCCCCCCCCCCCCCCCCCCCCCCAACCATAACATATAGGCTACCCACAGAATACTGCTTGGAAGTTAAATACATTTCAGGCTGCGTTAAGAGTAACGATTTCAACATTCCCCCTCTCCCCCCCCCTGGGGCTCTCAGCCTATCTACACAACCAGCGTAGACATGCTAAATTTAGAATGCCCTTGAGTCAAGTGTGGTCAAGTCCACTTTGGCTCTCTGAAGCAGTATCGTCAATATCGATTCCATGACACGTGACCCGGTCTACTCAAATGGCGGGTTAGTTCGTCTTTCCCACGCGCATAATCTTCATTAAAATATTGATAAAAAATAGAATCGTATTTTTATTTTAATCTGCCTGAAGGAATTGGGATACGGGCTGGTTGGAAAAACAACGAGGGGGGCGGGGCGGACACTAATGTGAAAACAAAAGTCAGATCATTAAAAAAATATATTTGTGAAAAATATTGCATTTTAAAATTAATCTCTAGTTTACAAAACTAAAGAAAGAAATGACAGCAAGTACGGCACGGTAACACAAATGGATCTCAGTCGCATCTGTGTCGCGTGTAGTATAAAACTGCGGCCCACGCACTTTATTTTCAGAGAACGAATGCAAATGGATTCTCTTAATTATCCTCATTTTCATCCGTATGATTCCCAATAGAGCCTTTGGGGGGAAGGGGTGGGGAGCTGTTTAATCTTGTTAGTGTATTTTCTCTCCCAAAGCACCTGGCCTTTGTTGTTGGTGAATAAATTTGATGTTTTAGAAGCTTTATAAATAGCAGTACTTAGTTGAATATTACTTAAATATAAAAGCATATATGCCTAGATCAACACAAGTTTTTTTTTACAGATCCACCTCCCATCTCCCCTCTTCAAATCGTTACTTATCACTAACAAATAAAATAACCCCTTCCGTTAAAGTTAAATGTGGTCATACTGTTTTTTATCCCACTCCTTAAAGAAAATTTTAAAAATTCTGTTTTGATTCTTTGAAAATACAAAATTGATGCTCACACTTTCTTTCCCCCATTCTACCCCCCCCCCCCCCCCCGTCGATTAAAAAAAAACGTTAAATGTTATAGTTGGCCTGCCAGTAATAGGCTTCGCAGACTGTATTTATATAGCTCATGTAGCCCGCACAGAATTCGATGAATGAATACAATATTTTTATTTAGAACAGCACAGGGGAGAGAACTCAACCTATAAATAAAAGAAGCCCTAAAGGGAGACAACACATCAAAGGATGGCTTCTGCCATTTAATTTCATTGTGAGGCTGCGCCCTCTGCTAATCGATATCACCGCTTTAGGCTAAGCTCGTTTTGTTTCTATGGATTAAACTACATAAAAAATGTGATCCTGTTTTAAAACTTTTTTTTTTCTCAATGAAAATTATAAAAAGTAAAGTTATCCGAAAGAAATAGAAAAAAATTAAAAAAAAAGATCTGAAAGAAACCTTGGAAACACATGCGTGGTCACTGAAACAGGAGAACTCTACCTTATCTGTCCTACTGGTCGAAAAGGGTAACTGTCACAGAGCGGAGAGAGTTGTTTTTAGTATAGCAGAAACAGTTTGAAAATATCAAGAATTTAGAGTGAGCTGAGTAGGTCCTTGGTTTTATGAAGAGAAACAGTGATGAGTTATCTATCGTCACGTCAGAAGCAGACATCTCTTCTTCCAATGTCATGTCGAGGGTAGGGAAGACAAACGCAGTATGTCCACTTTTTTCAAAATTTGATATTAGGGGGTCATCCATAACTGACGTCACGCTTTTTTGACGATTTTTACTCCCCCCTCCCTTCCGTAACACGTCGTCACAAAAAAAAAACAGACACCCCCCTAAAATGACGTCACACCTCAGCCTACAACCCCCCCCCCTCCTCACAATTGCTGTTGAATTTTTCTTAAAACATCGATATTTTTAAAAAATCTTGTCAGAATTCTGTCAACTTAGAGTATTTTGATCAATTCATATTACAATTTTTTTTAAAGCCGTTTTCTAAAACACGAAATAACGGCTAAAACTCATTTTCTAACATTGCTTTTTTATAATGCAAAAAAGTGACGTCACACCATCTGACCCCCCCCCCCTTCTCTCCCTCATCACACACCGTCACAAAATTACGGACCCCCCTTCCCCCTACGAGTGTGACGTCATTTATGGACAACCCCATAGTGTATATTCGCATAGTCATGAGCATGAGCTTGTAGAGCACAACAGTAAAATGTCCAAAAACGATACCAATCATTGCATAAAACACAAAACACGATTATGGTATCTTTCTTTTAGCAACTTTAACAGAGTAACTAATGTAGTATTTGACAAATAACATCTGTGCATTAGAAATGTTTGTGATTTATTTCTTCAACTGGACATACTACAAAACAAGATGGCCACCAAACCATACCATTCATTAGAAACCAAACGTTTTCACGATGATCAACTCACTGAAACAGTTGGGCCTGATCAACACATTGAAACAGATGGCCCTGATCAACTAATTGAAGCAGTTGGCCCTGATGAACACGTTGAATCAGATGGCCAACATATAGTATTTAGATAAATTCGTTTTACAATTTATTGAAACCGTTTTCTAAAACGCGAAATAACAGCTAAAACTTGTTTTCTAACATTGCTTTTTATAATGCAAAATTGTGACGTAACACCCCCCCCCCCCCCCCATCACACACCGTCACAAAATAACGGACTCCCTCCCCCCTACGAGTGTGACTTTATTTATGGACGACGCATGCATTGGGACATTCTAGACATGATCTAGGTCATCTTGCATTTCATCAGGAAGCTTCACAAAAGGCTCTCTGCCCATTACAATTTTCTGATTAATACAATGATTAAATGTTATTTCAAATTTTATTGAATGGATGTGCTGTCTTATGTGTCTTGCCCGTGAATGGACAAAGCCTACCAAATAGACAAAATTGTGACTTATAGTCTCACCTTCCTCAATGCTACAATACATATTGCATAGTCATTACTCTACACACTTGTATCTTACTTGATATCAGAGGTTCTATCAGGCATCTCACCCTAAAGCACATATACTGCCAGAAAGAGAATTTATATATTAATAATATTAATAATATACACCCAGTCAACACCTACAAAAGTTTCCAGAGTCCCTTCTGTCTGAAAGAAACACGTTTCATCTTACTAAAGTACTTTGTGTACTGCCATAAATATACTTTCAATAAAGTAGCCAGTGTACAGTCAGACATTGGCCTTACCAGATAAGTTTCACACACAAATTTATTTGCCCTGAGAAAAATGAGAGTCGATTGTACTTGCTTTGGACAAAAAAAAAATTCAAGATTTCATTATTTTAAAAAAGTTGCATTTCACATTCCTTTTCCAAGGCTGGTACAACTTTCCTGTTTAGTAAATAATAGCAGAGACCTAAAGTAAATTACTTAGGACATCACAAAAACGTAATTATTAATAACCTCAATTTATTTTAATATTAATATGATTCTTTTATTTTACATATCAGTAATGCACAAAATAATAATTGATGAACTATGTCAAAACAAACATAATAATGCATAAACAAGTAATTTTATTTACAAAATAAATGCAAGTTGAATGTACACAAATTTAAGACAAAATATTGCTCACTTCTGAGGTATAAAAATAAAAACTAGCTAAGCTTGTGTTATGCACACTATGCTACAACTAAAAGAAAACCTATTCTTAAAAAATAGAGAAAAATATTACCATGTTTAAAAATGTTCCAACATACAATTCAATGTCCCACTCAGAAATGGTTTCTGCGTAGAAAATACTTCTGGTACAGAAGGTTATCAGTAAATAGGTAGAGGCTTTATTAAATACTGATTATACATATGTTTACCACCCAACAAGGGGAGTAACCACCATTTCTTGTGTACTATTTTGAACCAAATCAAAATATTGGAAAAGCATTAACACCTTTATACTCTCATTGAGTAGTGGCAATAATACATTTTCAAACAGAATAGATGCATTTTCACTTAACACTAACTGGGTAAAGTCTACACAGGTATTAGTGGTCAAACATACACCTATTGAGATTACAGAACTTGTTGAAGTACATTAGATATTAAAAAAAGAAAACTTTTAAATTAGTACTGACAGAAGTAAATGTGATCAACAAAGAATTACAAATCTCCATTTCTTTTAAGTAAGTATAATATGATCATCTAGCCTCCAATGAAACAGTATTAGGCGGCGGCTAGCGGCCTAATAAAATATGCACATTGTCCATAACATGCCTAGAATAAAAATATGCTACTCCATAAAAAGTTGTTACCTAAAAAACATAATAAATAATAAAAACAATCATTTAGCTGCACTGTACAAAAAGAACATAACTAAACAATGGATGCCTGTTATACAAAATACAAAGGTTTCTTCACATTGATGCCATACTCTGCTAGGGCTGGTGTAAGGTCTTCCATTTGTAGTGTCATCTTTTTGTCCTAGAATAGATGAATATAAATGTAAACAAAATAAAGCAAAAGCTATGAAAGATCTTTGTTGGAAGAGCAGGGTTGAAAATACACCGTCAAACATAATTAGAAGATACCTCCATCTGATTACATACTATTTATTCTATGTTTTTTAGTTAGGTAGAATAGCTTTTCAAAGGCTTCTCCCAAGTAGAGTTACATATAGTTTTAGACATGTACATCTATAAATATTGTCCACTGTAAATCTATGGTTTAATTAATCTCATACATGTGTGAATATCCTGAACAATTTCAACATGTGTTAGAGTAGATAGAACCCACTATCACTAACAATAAATTTGACACAGTAAATGGTGAGCTGGTAAAGTTTTTTTTATAGTATTAACTTTCCCATTAAAAAATGTGTACCAATCTTTCCACATTTAAGCTAGATATGTAAGCCTTTTGTTAATTTAAATCATCTATATATATAATTCTCTTCTTGGAGACATTAGAAAACAAGCTGTAAGCGCGCCTTGCAGTCCCCTCTCTAGGTAGTCTGGTGAGCTGTGGGTCATGCTAAATGTTTACAATCATAGAGCCGGGTTTAGTGACGGCTATTAGGGGCACATAATTTAGTTTGAAACGATTTTAAACTTAGGGGAGGTAGCTAAGAGGAGGCTGCTTCCATCCACGGGGGGGGGGGGGGGGGGGGGGGGGGGGGGTGTGTGGGGGTAGAATCGCCCTTAACGACTTTCTGATAGTGTTTTAAAGCAGATATTCTCAGTGACAGCAGTGGTTACAAAATTATGAATTACTGAAACTTAAAAAATATATTGTAACATGTTCAATAATTTGTGATTGTCAGTTTTATTTCCGAAATCTTATAATCCTTTTTACTCTGATCATCACAGAATTTACAAATAAATATTTGTAAAAGTATTCACTTAATTTTTACAGAGTTATGGGCCACATATTGGGAATTGAATGCAAATCACAGGAAGTTAATGGCTTAAAATCTTTTGAACTAATGCAGAGAGTTATTTGTACTACCATACCTTTCCTTGTTTTTTTGCACTCTGTCCAGAAGCTCTCATCTTTGAATGCTGTAGTGCATCGTTGGCAATATCAGAAATAAACTTTTGTGCTGCCAGGGAAATTAGTCTCGTTCTGAAAATTTAACGGACATTAATTTTTACTGCAGTTAAAGGGAATTTCATATAGCAAAAAACATGTTTGTTTACCCATAACAAAAGTTAATAACATAGTGAACGGAAACATTCAATCAATAAATCTGGCAACTTATTTCTAATGTGGAAGTAAATGAGATGAAATCAATGAAAAAGACTACTAGTACTAGAGAAAAAGTAAAAATTTAAAAACAAAGAAAAAAAATAGGCAGAGAGCTGTAAAAGAAATGTGAAGTCAAGCTTACATTCTTGGGTCACTGGAATCAAATCCTGCCCTGTTGAGATAGTAGCCTGTCACAGAGTCTGGTATCTGAAACATATATTAAAATATTAGACAAAGTATAATACATTATTTTAAATGTTCATAACTGCTAGCCATATAGGTGGTAACAGCAAGCAATGTAGGATTAACTGTCATGATTTATATGCCAAACTATAGCATGTTAGAAAATTAGCCTACAAAAATGTCTGCATGGGTACCTCACCTGGGGATAAGATATTGGAAAAAAGAAACAATATTACTGGAATTAAACATGTTAAATATCTCAAACGAGCCGACCCGCGGCATATCATACGCCGCTATTTAGTTGTTTTATTTCCTACTTTTCAGTAATTCATAATTTGTGAATTCGACAGTACCAATGCTGCCACTGAAAATATTTGCTTTAAAACACTAACCCCCCCCCCATTCCACTAACCCTGACCCTACACCCCCCCCCCCCCGTGAATGCAGCCTTCTTTTAATTACCTCCTGTAAGTTTAAAATCGTTTCAAACTAAATTATCTGCCCCTAATAGCCGTCACGAAACCCGGGTCAACGATTTGTAAACATTTAGGGTGACCACAGCTCACCAGACCATGTGCGGGTGGGGTGGGGAGTGGTAGTGAGGATAGAGAGAAAGAGAGGGGACTGCAAGGAGGCGCTTGTTTTCTAACGTCTCCCAGAAGAGAATTATATATATAGATATGTGTTAATTTATTATTAGTCTGTCATTTTGATCAGTCAGTTGATAGTTTTTGGTGGCAGTTGTTTTCACGGAGAGCACTTAACTAGAAATCCTAAAAATTACTTCTACATATCTCGCAATTTTTTTATTGTCACTCACTGCCATGCACGACACACCTCTCCATGACAAGCATTATTTGTTTGAAGCTACAAAAAGCCATGAGTCCGGTTTGACTTTTTAACTGGCTATGCACAAGAGTACCTAACTAGTGATCACCAAATAGTGGTCACGAGGTTTTTTTTTGATCACCAAATAGTGGTCACGAGGTTTTTAAAAAAAAAAAATGGTTGTCATTTTCTTTGCCGGTCTTATAAAAAACGGCTGATAATATTTGATTTATTTTTGCATAGACTGAGAATAATGCTTTTGTATGGAAATCAATTTTGTACTATGGAAATTTATATTTAAAAAGTTCTAGTAGGCCTATTTTTAATCAAAGCAACTTTTAAATTTAGCCTTCATTCTCCAACGCAAATTTTAAAATGCTTTTCTGGCATATATAGCTCTGCCACATATAGTTTGTTGCTATAACATGAAAACCCTGCCATTTTGCGTGTGGTAAACATTTTTTAAAGTAATTAGTAGAAGGTCATTGTAATTTGGCCGAAAAATGGTCTGAAGTCATGCGTCCAGTCTGCACGCCATATTGTTGTTAGCAACGAAGCACGCCTTCAAGTTAGCGAGTAATACTACTAATAACTGATGAAAGATCTGTGTGCATAATTTTCTTATTGCGCATTTTTCTGTGTGCTAGGTGCGCACACAGAAAAATGTGAAAATAATAGCGAGACTCACTAACTTAAAAGCGTCCTTGGTTGCTAACCAGAACATGGCTACCACACCTTGGCCTACGATTGGGCAATTTTTTCTGCTTTGTTCGAGAGACCACCTTAACATTAACTTTAAAAATAATTATCACGCGAAAAATGGCGTTTTTTTCGCGTATTTTAAGCAATCTAATGATGACAAAGCTATTTTTGGCAGATTTTTTTTTTTTTTTTTGCTTCCGACATTGAAAGGTCAAACGTAAACATAGGTACAGTTTGAGTAGCTCAAAAACTTTAAATAATGGTCTCTAAGGTGTCAAAACAGCATGCCTAGGTCGAGTATTATTAGATTGATCGTTTAGTGAAAAAAAATTGTAAATATTGTGTTCGCCTTTTAAGAAATCGGCATCGCAAAAAGGTCACTGAAAGCACCTTATTTTTTATTGTGACGTCATCGCTATTGTTACGGAAGCTGTACAGTAGTATCCTCTCGCTGCTTATATAATTGTGTTTTCTTTTCACTTGACACTCTTTTTCAGCTTATTTTGCTAGCGTAATTAGACTAATTAAGCCTAATTATGGATATTTCACCTGACTTTTGGATTATACTATGACTCTAAAAACCCTTAAACCACAACGATCTGTTATTTTTTTATTTTTTTTTTGTTGATCCCTGGAATTAGATCTAGATCTAGTAGTGAGCGTTGGTCTTTGTGTGCTTACTTAGGCTAATGACTTAGGCCTAATTATTTGTTTTCAAATTTGTTATAGCTTAATTAATTTGTCTTAATTCTTATTGATTTCATAAATTTTAATTAGGCTAATTATAATATTATTTTCACTGGTCTTCGTTGCCTCATTATTTGTTTTCAAATTTGTTATAGCTTAATTAATTTGTCTTAATTCTTATTGATTTCATAAATTTTAATTAGGCTAATTATAATATTTTCACTGGTCTTCGTTGATACATTTATTAGGCTTAATAATGTTAATATTATTACGATTTTAGAGGCCTGATAGATAAATTAAATGATTTTAGCGTTGGGTCTAAGTTTACATTACTAATTAGTACTAAGTAAACCAAGTACGCATGGACTAGGACATGTGTACTGTGCCGGCGCTGTGGCGGGCGATGCCTCTCTCGCTGACAAACCAGCGCGAGCGAGCGAGTCGTTTGACACACGTGGTCTGTGTCGATGTTTGGAATGCATAGGCATAGGCCTAATTCTCGCTCTCGGGTGATTAATTTTTATGCGCTGACATTTGAAAAATCAAATAGACACACATCTTAATTAAATACATTTAATTTGAACTTTATATTAATCTAGACCTATAATACTAATTAGGGCCTATAACTTGGGATAACAAAGTACTTGGACTAGATTTAGCGCATGCGCACACTGTGCTATGAGTTTTCTCTCGCTGGTTGACAAAAGAACGCAGGCGGGCTAGCGATGTTTGTAATTTGCATATATCTTTGCTCACAGGCGATCATTTTAATGAGATTGGCCTCTTTTTATTTTATAGGCCTAATTAATTGTATTTGATAGGCTAACTTTTCTGGTTGACAAAACTAAGCGAGCGAGATGTCTGTCACGTGCACTGCCCGTGACGCTGTTTAGAATGTATTTCTCGCTAACTTGATGAATTTGAATACTATTGCAGTGTTTTTTAAAATAAATCAAATACTTACAAATCTTTACATTTTAAACTGAGCATAGACAAAACTTTGTAAATAACACACCTGTCCCAAGTCAAGTGAGAGAAGAGGGTTAGATTAATTTTACAATGACATCGCTATATTTTATGAATTGCCCTAATTAAGCATTGCTAAAACACGTACACTAGTTAATAAAACATGCATGGGATTGAATATCTTTAAAAAGATTAGATCTATACTACATATTCTTGAACATGTTTTTCATTAATTTGAATTTAGTTTTCCTTTTTAAACACCCTTCCATTTAAAAAAAAATTAAATAAAAATATTTTAAAAATCTAGATCTAATTCCATTATGTGATTTTTTATTCTGACGAAGACAGTGTACATACGAATAGAAATGTGGTAATAAAATCAAATGTACTGTGCATATTCTGCTAAAATCAAATCAGCTGCAAGGTCAACCCTGCAGAGTTCGTCTCTTCAGAAAAGCTATGGCGATCTGGTTGTCACGGATTATTTGGCTTGCAATGCTTGGAGTGGCCAATTAATAAAAATCAGTAATTAAGCTCCAAATGAGTTTATTTTCAACAAATTAAGTATTTGATTGATTAGAGATTGATCTCTAGTTTCCATTGGTAATGTTTAAATCGAAAAATAACGAAATTTAAAATTAGCGAGTATCTCTAGAAAATATAGCTAGTCTCATAACGCGAGTTGAATTATCTCCCCTGACCCGCTTTTTTATGGCCACTTTCTAGTTCGTTTTTTTCGATCGCGTCTCGACACTGTTGCTAAAAATAGCATTCGCGCAATACCATACGGGTAAATCTGTTTGGCGTCTGCTACACGTGATAGATCGTTGAATGGCCGACAAGCTGATATAAAAATTTTTGCGACCAGATGCGATTTTCGTGGAAATTGAGCTAGATTTAGCAAAAGACAGCTATATTTGTGTAAAATATTATTATTTATACTTCTACTTACACAGATATTTTGATAACTGCAGTTCAGCCGTCCATTTTTCTTTTAAAATGTATCTTTAGAATTTCTGTACCTTTTGGCAATCGGTCAGGAGCATTTGCGCACTAAACCCACCCCCCTACGGCAGATCCGATTTTTTTCCCAGTGAACTCGTATTGACCTACCACATAGCTAAGATAGTACATTGATACTGATGGGAAAGCCTCTAAATCTGTATTCCTACTAGAGATCTAGAAATAAATCTAGATCGTGGAGTTTTTATAATGACTTTTAAATTGAATGTCTCCAGTTTAAGATATTTTTTTTTCAAAACATAGCTACTTTTAGTACTATATTTAAGTATTTCAAACCTTTTTGGTAGTTTTTTCTTAAACTTAGACCTAGATCTAGTGATTAGATATCTATATTTTGTACTTATAACTTGCAGGCCTATTAAAATAATAATAAAACAGTTTGCTTGATAACTTCATTAGGTCATTTCATAAACACAAATGTTATAAACATATAAAAACCACAAAACCATAGGTAATATCTGAATTCTGTAGCCTACCTTACATTTAGGCTAATACTGAATTAAAAAGAAATTACATTAAGGTTTGAAATTAATACAACTTGTAATTAAGAAAGAAAGCTTCAATTCTAAATACTACAAGATATAATAACAAACAATTAAACAAATTCAAAGCTTTTTTCAACCCATTTAGTCGAAAAGATTTTTATTTTTTCCGATATTGACCAAAATAAGTTTTTAAAGCTTAGGCCTAATGTTTTTACAAACATAACTCAATTTTATTAGGCCCCTGTAAACATTAATTAAGATTCCTCTGTAGACAAAGCAATCTATTTGGCAGATGAAGTAGAGTTCATGTTTCTTGACCTCGGCATATGAAGTGATTGTCCGTGTGGTCAGCGATATTCACAGCCGCCTTTACTTTTTACCTTTAATTTCCCCAATGTATATCAGGTACCCATCAGAAATGGGTGGACTCTAATTGAATTTTATTAAACAAACATTTTGATATAGGCCTAGATCTATAATCTATAACATTCCAAACAACATCTGTTCTGTAGAATTTACCTTTCTGCTTCCAAATGCAGTATTTTCCAATTGAAAATTCATCACAAAACATACAATAAATTATAATTAATTATATAAATGGCATTTTATAAATTTATATAAACTATTTACTTTCACCTTGGTGTAAAAAAATGTAGGTATAAGCAAACTGATTTCAATAGTAAGAAAGAATCATGTCTTTTCTTGCTTACTAGCTTTAAAACAAGTGTATTTGACTTTTTACCTGCGTTTTTGGTCGCGTTTCTATATATTTTATTTGCGACACTAAAAAAATTATATTTAATCAACCGATTATGCTAAATTAATAAAATTGGTACTGTTGGCTTGCATTTTTAAAGCTCTACAATTATATGCTATTCTTTTTATAATTTGAAGAAAATTGAATTTATATGAGACTAACTAGAAAATAAGACTAAGACCTTTGTTTTTCCAAATTTTCTGTGAGCACACTTTTCTGTTTACGCAAATAAATCGTGTTTTCCTAATGTTTTGGTGTGTTTTAATAAAATACGCTCAACTGGAGGTAAACGAGAAGCGGAGATTAAAAATAGGGTCTACGCTAAATTAAAAAAAAAAAAAATTAAAATGGAGTTTTACCGAGAAATTAATGATTTATTTTCAAAATCTATTAATCTAGAATCTACAGTTAAAGTAAAGAAAATTAGCAAACCGTAGGTGCATAATCTTCCAATTGAAGAACAAAATCGCTCAGGGGTAAACCTGCTGATTTGTCTTGATTTTGCGATTGAGTATCTTGGGAAATTTGGCTTTGTAGTATAAACGTTGGTTTAACATCATCTCCTCCAGCCGCCATTTTGAATACAATAATAAATGCTTCAATAAAAAAGTTAAATCTGTAAACCAAACACTAAAGTTAGTGAAATAAAACATTAGGTCTAAGCATTTTAATAGAAAAAGCAGGTATTTTATTGAAATATTACATCTTAAATATGTAGACTATATATAGATCTATATTTCAAACATTAAAGGTTCCAAAAACAATCTAACCATTATTCTAAACAAATCCGTTTTTGTATTTTAAAAAGGACATTAGGCCCTAAAATGTTTTGCTTATTTAGATGAAGTTGTGGTTTTTAACAACAAGTCAGTAAAGTAAAAACATAAATTCACATTTGCCGGGTGAGGCAAGCTTTGTTAAGAAATCATTCAATAGTTAATGTTAATAATATTATTTTAGTATTAGTATAATAGATAAGAAAGATAGGCCTAGATCTGGATCTAGAATAGAATCTAGAGATCTAGATCTAGAGTAAAACTTCAATTTAGCGTATTTTATTCCCCGCTTGACGTTCACCTCCAGTTGAGCGTATTTTATTGTAAAGTAAACAACACTAAACACAACCGAAACCCACAAAAAAAAAAAACGTTAGTCGTCGTTAGGAAAACACCGATTTTGACAGATCTAGACTCTAGATCTAGATCTACTTATTTTTTTTTATAAATGCGATTTTTTATTATTAGAAAAGGTAAAAAAAAAACAAAAAAAAGCATTAGAACTGTTCCAATTAGGCCTAACTATCGTGTGATCGTCAGCGGGAGAAAAATCCTTACACTTACACGGTAGCAGGTTCACCGTGAGTTCACATTGACTTTACCTAATAATTAATAATATATTCCATTAATTATCAGCATACGTCATAGCTCGGGCAATAGCTGTTTGAAATTGTGTTGGCCTCAGTTTTGTGGTCATTGTAAGTTCATTAATGTTTATTTATAGTATCATGCCTGGGAAATACTTGTAACAGTACAAACTTAACCGCCTTTGCAGCCAATTGTGAGTTACGTTTTTACGTATTTCACCCATTGCTATGAAAATTCTGATGCACGAACATTGCACATTCCATATTCTAAATTTGGAATTAACAAAAGTAAATTATCAAAATCTAAAAAAAGTCAGTCTCTTTGTTTTTTTTATTCATTTTTATTCATTTGTTAAAACAAAAATACAATACAAATAATAAATCGTGTTTTCCTAATGTTTTGGTGTGTTTCAGTTGTTATAATAAAATACGCTCAACTGGAGGTAAACAAGAAGCGGAGAATAAAATACGCTAAAATGGAGTTTTACCGAATCTAGATTCTAGATCTACTAAACTTGAAAAAAATCTGGGTAAAACTCCATTTATGCGTATTTTATTCCCGCATCACGTTCACCCCCAGTTGAGCGTGTGATATAAAATCATATCTAATATATAAAGCTCAGTTCTGTATGTAATGCATTTGTATGTCGTTGGAATTGTACGATTTTAAGTGTTAGAAAAATTATCGTGCGCATTTGTCTAAATTTATGAGCTAAAAAATTACTATTGAAAGTGTTGGGAAATAATTTTCATTTTTCAAATTATAGTAATAATTGTCGGCATGTTCATTAAACACAAGTTTTAAAAAAAATATCATCTTTTACAAAAATTCTAATTATGTCTTTATTTAGTCCTATAGCACTTACTTCCCTTTGATAAATTAGGAAAAACACAATTACTTCCCTTTATAAAACCATTGCATTCCGTGAAAATAATTTACTTTTTAATTACTTTGTTTTGGTATTGGGAAAAAAAATAATTACATAATTAGCGGGGATTGATCAAGTGCAAATGTTGTAGGTATTTTACGGATAAGCTTGGAGTATTAAAATTGTTTATTAAATTGAAACAGGCGCGTTCGTTTAAGTGAGTGCAAAAGACTGTGAATAAGTTGGGGTACTATAGGCGTTCATTAAGCTAAAACAGGTGATTCCGCCCCGGGCGTTTATGTTCGCGTTAGTGTTTTCTTTGTGTTTAGGTGGGTTTGCGTTAGTGGTTGCGTTTTGATTTGGTTCGTTTTTGTTCTTTCTTTTTTCGTTTTTGTTTGTGTTTTTTTTTTTGGGTTTGTGTTTTTGGTTGGTTTTGCGTTTGGATTTGGTTTGTTTTCGTTTGCTTTTTCGTTGTTTTTTTTTTTTTGTTGGTATTGGTGTTTGTGGTTGGGTTTGTTGTTAGGTTTTTGTTTTCGTTTGCTTTTTTGTTTGTTTTTTCTTTGTGTTTGTATTGGTGGTTGTGGTTGGGTTTGTTGTTAGGTTTTTGTTTTCGTTTGTATTTGTAATTGTGTTAGCGTTATGTTTGCGTTTTGTTGTTTTTGGTTGGTTGTGGTTTGGGTGGGCAATGCCGGGTTTCTGATGATTACTAAACACACAGGTAATGGTCTTTAACAGAAAGGTTTTTCACAGAAGCCAGAGCAGGGCCTGGCCGGGACGGCTAGTAAATTATAAAATATAGCTTATAGTATAGGCCAAGATCTAGATCTAAATAAACACAACCGAAACACACACAAAACGGCAGGAAAACATTAACATTAACCCGGCCTATATAATTATATATAATTAATTATAAACATTGTTGTTGGGCTTAGGGTTCACCCATAAATGATGTCACGCTTTTTTTTGACGATTTTTACCTCCCCCCACCCCTCTGTCACACGTCACAAAAAGCCAGACCCCCCCTAAAATGTTGTTACACCTCAGCCTATAACCCCCTCAAAATTGCAGTTGAATATTTTTTTAAACATCGATATTTTTCTAAAATCTTGTCTGAACTCCGTCAAAATAGAGTATTTTAATCAATTCCTATTACAATTTATTAAAGCAGTTTTCTAAAACGCGAAATAACGTTTAAAATTTGTTTTCTAACATTGCTTTTTTATAATGCAAAAGTGATGTCGCACCATCTGAACTCCCCCCCTCCCCCTCATCACACACAGTCGCAAAATTACAGACCCCCCTCCCCCCTACGAGTGTGATGTCATTTATGGACGACCCCTTAGGTCTATTTCTTTATGAAGTTTTGTTTTAGTTTTGATGATTTACTTTTGTCAAAAATCCAAATTTGCAATATTGAATGTGCTATGACAGCTATGTTCATGTGTCAGTTAAAGTTAAGATAGAGATATTCATGCCAATGTTTCAGGCAATGGATGAAATTGAAGTACGAAACTCGCAATTGCAAGGCAGTTAAGTTTGTATTGTTACAAGTATCTCCCGCGATCAATAAACTTTTATGATTTCACAATGACCCCAGAACTGAGGCCAACAACATTTCAAATAGCTATTGCCCAAGCTATGATGTTTGTTGATAATTAAAGTCAATATGAACTCGCGGTAAACCCTCGACTGTGTAGGGATTTTTTCTCCCACTGACTATCACACGCTATTGGATTGGATTGGAACTGTCCTAATGCTTTTTGTGTTTTTGTTTTTCCCTTTTCTAATTAAAACTTACATTCATCAAAAAGAAGTAGATCTAGCTCTTATCCCAGTGTTTTCCTAACGTTTTTGTGTGTTTTGGTTGTGTTTATATTAAGTTTATAATAAAATACAATGTGAAGCGGCGAATAAAATACGCTAAAATGGAGTTTAACCAAGATCTTGATCTACGCCTAAATTCTATAGATTATAGATTGCTCTAATTAAAATACAAAGTGAAAAAGCTTACTCCCCCCCCCCCCCCTTCAGCCTTCCCAGTATCAAGTTATTTAATAATTATACTCAGTTATTATTACTAGTTAGGCCTACTATAGTATATATGAACTATCATCATCATCGTTCTTTTCTGGCCACTGGGGAGCAAAGGGCTGCAACCACACATCTCCATCGGACTCGGTTTTGGGCTGCCCCCTTTATCTGAACTATATATATGAACTATAGATTAGTTAATTAGTAGGCCCTTACATACTAATATAAAAGGCCTGTATATATAGTAGTAATCTATTATTATAAATTTATTATTATAGGCCTATCAAGTATCAATAGATCTAGCAGCAATCTATTTGACTTGATTCTAGACTAACCCTGGCTAGTAAAGTATCTAGAGAACTGGGCCTTGCCTTGGAGTGATAATGAATTTTATAATGAGGTAAGCCTACTGCTATACAATTTAAAAATTAGGGCTAATTACTGTAATTAAACCTATATCAAGTTTTTCTATCACAGCAATTTAATATAAGCCTAACAGTTATGATTGTTTTGTTGATCTACCATCCCTGCAAGTGTCTATTACTCCTACACAGTACAGTGAACACAGCGTGAAAGGGCTTTGGCTTTGGCCTGCTTCACCTTTCTTCACCCAATCTTTAGTAGAAACTATCAATCTAAGCCTAGGCCGGCCTTGTGGTCGTGTTCCCTTGGAATTTTTTATACAACTGGTTTTTATAAAAGTAGAATAATATATCTACCAAATCCACCCCTCTGTTGTTTTTTTTTTTTTTTTTTTTGTTTCCAGATGACCTAACTGTCACTGTCTTTCTCTTAAAATTTCGGCCATTACATGTCATATGTAGTATGTATTAGTGTCTGTGTTAATTTCATAGATCTCTGGTTGGTTTTTCCAATTCTCAAACCATTCTCATCATGTGTCTGACCATATAGGCTAGGCCTAATGAAATGTTCCATGTTTTCTGTTGTTTTTTTAAGTTTCTAGGTTTAAGTGGCATACAGTTATGTTATGTCGTTATCACTGAAACTCTACTTACTAAAATTATAGGTCTATGCTACTTTAACAAATAGAAGGTAGTATCAGATATCTGTCCGCTAGGGCACCTGACCTGGAACCCTCAGTGAGGGAAAATTATAAGTTTATTTATTACACTTTTACGCCTATTAAAAATTATGTAATGGGTCTTATATTATACTTTCTTTCTCATCGTACTTTATGAATGGTAACACTTATTGTGTTAATTTTACTATTTTTTTTTCAACTTTCAGATGGGTTAAGAATGATAACATGCCACCTTCAGAAATAAGAGTAAATTGCTGGTTTTGCAATGAAGACTCCATTGTAAAAGCTGAGGACAAAGACAGTTGGACTTGCAGAAATTGTGAACAGTATAACGGGTTTACAGAGGTTGCTATTTAATAGATAATTCATGTTCACCCATTTTTTGGTTTTTAAGTTAGCATATAATATATTACTAGGTACTGAAACCACCTTGCATTGCTTTTTTAGTTAAACAATTGTAATTATAATTATGGATGTAAATTTTTTTTATTAAGCAATGCTAAAGAGAATTTATCTATTTAAAATTTATGAAAACTATTTTTGTCTAATTATATTATTTTAAAACAGAAAATTCCTTGTTAGTGATTATTAATAACTTGTTGAATTTATATAAAAATGTATAATAAAATATATATAAAATAAATTATTAAAAAAAATTATTTTGAACATTTGTGCACCATTCCATCTTATAATTATGTAAGGTGAAGAATATATTTTCAATTACTATTAGAAAATACTAGCATTTTCATAAACAGGAAATAAAAAAATATATTGTTTGCTATTCTAGGATGGTGATTACAACAAACCTATCACTGAACAGTATCAAATTAATGACAGTGTAGGAGTAAGCACGAGAACCCCAGCAGAGATGAATGAAAAAGAGTCCCTGCTATGTGCTGACTGTGGCCAGAATCAAGTGATTAAAGTACGACAACTTGCAGCTTTTGTTCCATTCAGTGAGGTATGTGTTTTGTTGAATTATCGACAGTTTTTAAAGTACTGTTAAAGTGGCAATGGACAATCTGGAATTAAGGATAAAATTATAATTATATACATAATTATCTGTCCTTTATTCCAGATTGTAATGAAGAAAACTAAACAAAAAACAAGTACTGCCACATATTAATATTAGTATATTTTAGACTTTTAAAAAATTGGTTTACAATTATAATTTTTCTCATAAATTTTTTTGTATCAAATAACAGCTTTATTTCAATACATATTTTTAAAATTAAATTTATAGATCCATTTTTATGTGAACTTTTCTAACCTTTTTTTTTGGTAAAAAGTTTTAAGTACACAGATGATAGTTATTTATTTGATAAAATACAGTTTAATATTTCTTTTCTCTTTTGAAGGTGGATTATGATGATGAGGTTGAAATGTATAGAGATTATCTAGAGAAGGTGTACGCCCTGTGCAGTGTTTGCCAGGAAAGAGTGCAAGATTTTATTAGGAAACAAGATTTGACACTCATAAATGACATGTCAGCAGACCAGCAAAAGCTTGTGGATAGTCTACATGAGAAGTCCCTTTATCCCGGTCACAGTGATCATGTAGGTATAGTTTAATTGAGGCTTGGTTATATTGTGCTCTTGAAGTTGTAGTCCTTTTGAAATTTGAGTTGGTTCTTTAGTTTAAAAAACCCAGAAAATGTACAAAGCTGGAAAAAAGTTGGGGAATAGAGGAATTATTTTTGTTATGACTTGTTAAGGGAATTGAGGTTCACATTGATGTTTAAGAATATCTTTTATTTTATTACCGCTGAGCTGAAATCTTATAGCATTAATAAACAGTGAGATATATAGTTTTAACCATTTACATTCCAATTATAAATTCTTTTTCCTTTCAATAATAACCAAATGACAATACAATTTCAACCAAGAGTCTAAATTGCTTAATAATTTGTAAATGATAAATAAGAATAAGATCACATTAGAAAAATGCTAAATAAACCACACTTTAACTATTATTATTTCAAGTTTTAAGAACTTTAAATGCTAAATTCAACATTGTTGCTTTCTTTTTTTTTTTTAATGTCACAAATAAATGAAGCCTGAATCAACAGTATATATATATTTTAGTTTTTCTTAACTAAAAAAACATTGCAGAAAATAAACCCCTAGTTGTAGAAAATGTGTAAATACAATTTTTTTCCCAGCTTTAACCTGTAGCTTCTCTTTTTGCCAGCTTGATTTCTGTAACAAAATACATAATTTAGGATTTGCTCAACCTAACAGTTTAGATTTTCTAGCATATTAAACCACATAGTAAATTAATGACTAATTTTATCTTTTTATTCTCAGGTACAGCACTCTAATGTTAGATTCTATCAACAAGTAACGTCAAAAATCCTATTCATCATGTGTGCCCTGAGTTCTTTTCTCCTGCTTGTCTTTAACATAAGACTATACTTGGGCTCCACATCAGCAGATTACTCTTCAAATCCCTGGCTGGATGACATCAATAAAGTCTTCTTTTCTCATGTATCTGTGCACCTAGTACTTGACATGTCTGGCAAGGCTGTACTTACAGGGGCCATTTTTTGCTTGGTGGGACTGGCTTTATCTGGCAAACACAGGTAAAACTCAACAACATTTATTCTTTTAGCAAAAATGTTTACTTTTACTAAAATTATTATATTTAGACTTAAGAGAGATAACTGAATTTATGGAATGAAAGTGGTGATGTAATTTAGGATCAACATAGGTTTCATTTTGTTTAGTCACCCTTAGATAGATTTACCCACTAAGAAATGAAATAGCTGACTGGTTTGAACATGAAAAATTTTGTTGTCCTTTATTTGGTCATTTAAGTTTTTTGATGTATTTATTTATTATTTGTTAAATTAAATGAATAAACTTTAGTACAATTTTAGTACAATACTTCTTGAATTTTGTAGGATTTAATTTTCTAAGTTATTATTTATACATTTATGTAATTTTTTATTTTGTTATCGGAGTAGTCTAAAAAATTGATCTTTATTGTGTCATTCCAAATATTAATATTGTCACTGTTTTCTATTTGGGTGTGTTAACTTTCTTTTCCTCAACAGCCTGTACCCTGAAGACACATTACATTTGTTACTGTGGCTAGTCACCGTGGTGACAGCGTTTAACCTGGTTGATGTATCTCTCCCAGTTACTCTGGGCTTGAATGTGCTGACTCTGTTTGTTGTTATCATCTGTTGTATCAGAGACCGCAGACCCAGAAATATTACGGTAGAATCTCTTCAAAGGTAATTATAATTTTAAATATGTAAAACATTGCATTATATGGTTCAAGTCCCTATAATAATATGCTTTTGTAAGCTATTTCATTTTATTATCATTAACTTTTTATGATTAAAAAAAATGCTGTATTTATATTGAAAATATTTAACACCAGTGGCATAAAATGTGCATGACTTTGAGACGGGGTAGTGCAATGCACATACATTATTAGCTTGTTGTGTGATCTATTTTAGTAATTAACTTTCAGGTGCAGATCACATAATTTAAGTTAATTTACCCTCAGATTAAAAAAATTATTTGACAGTTCCCCTCTTTATTACTTTCAACAGAAAACAGATTTCTCCTGCTAGTTCTCCCATAGAACCCAGACCAGAATATGTCAGAGAGTTTTCAGCTGAAGAAGCCTCGTTAAAGTCTTCACCCAGTGTTCAAGCATCAGAATCTGGTGGAAAGGATCAAATTACCCCCCATTTTGAGGAAGTTAGGCAGAATCTTGAGACATTCACTTTTGGACTTGGCAAAAGAACCGGTATAGTGGTCGCCCATTAATTTAATTTTTAACACATTTATTAATTAAATTTACACTTCCTTAAAAAAAAATAACTGATTATGAATTTCCAAAATTATGATTATACTAAAAACTGTTTTAAAAGGCAATTGTCTTTGTACAAATAATCCACTTATAAATATCTTTTATACTTGAATAGCATAGGCCAGGGGTCGGCAACCTTTTGAAGCGGAAGAGCCAAAAGTTACAATTTTCAAAATTTCCCTGGTTTTAAAGAGCCACTAACATTTTTTTATTTCAAATATTTTATTTTTTTATTAAGAGTATTAGTATTTGTTCAAGGAGCTGGAGAGCCGCATCTTGATATCAAAAGAGCTGCATGCGGCTCGCGAGCCGCAGGTTGCCGACCCCTGGCATAGGCCTACATAATATACAACTGAAAAATAAATACACTATCTTTATGATTTCTTGCACTGAGTGAGAAATTTTAACAGATTAGATATTCTGACAAAAAAACAGTTGAAGACCTGAGCAAATTTTATAAGCCTTTAGCTTAAACCAGAATAGAAATCACACTTACAACTAACTTTCAGTCAAGCAGTCATATTTGCTACTGCTCCCTTACACACCCTTTCTGATATTTAAAAAATTTACTTGTTATGAGAAAAGGTAAGATCCAATAGTTAAAAAAAGATAGTTTTTGTCAGAGGTTATAATAGGTGTAAAAGAAAATTTGATTTTGTCCTTGGTTCAGATAGCTATTATAGATATTTGATTTATAGTCCTATGTTATTATATCTATAAATGATAATTTGATTTTGTCCTATGTTCCTATATCTATAAATGATAATTTGATTTTGTCCTATGTTCCTATATCTATAAATGATAATTTGATTTTGTCCTATGTTCCTATATCTATAAATGATAATTTGATTTTGTCCTATGTTCCTATATCTATAAATGATAATTTGATTTTGTCCTAGGTTCCTATATCTATAAATGATAATTTGATTTTGTCCTATGTTCCTATATCTATAAATGATAATTTGATTTTGTCCTATGTTCCTATATCTATAAATGATAATTTGATTTTGTCCTATGTTCCTATATCTATAAATGATAATTTGATTTTGTCCTATGTTCCTATATCTATAAATGATAATTTGATTTTGTCCTATGTTCCTATATCTATAAATGATAATTTGATTTTGTCCTATGTTCCTATATCTATAAATGATAATTTGATTTTGTCCTAGGTTCTGATAACTATAAAAGATATTTGATTTTGTCCTATGTTCCTATATATATAAATGATATTTTGATTTTGTCCTTTGTTCCAATATCTATAAATGATAATTTGATTTTGTTTTATGTTCCAATATCTATAAATGATAATTTGATTTTGTTTTATGTTCCAATATCTATAAATGATAATTTGATTTTGTCCTAGGTTCCAATATCTATAAATGATAATTTGATTTTGTCCTATGTTCCAATATCTATAAATGATAATTTGATTTTGTCCTAGGTTCCAATAGCTCTATATGGTCTCTACCCCTAATTGTGTCAGCCCCTGGGTCAGCACCTCGTCCTGTGTCTACTTGTCCTGCTGCAGTGGTTGCAGCTGATTCGTCTACTGACCATGTTAAACAATCCAGAACTATCATATCGCCAAGTAGACTTGGCTTCATATCTTTGGATGTTAAAGGTAAATTAGAGAAATTTGTTGTCATAAGTTTTCTGTGGTGTCGGAATAACCACACAGAGGATTAATATCAAAATATTTAACAATAGCCTGTCTATTTCTACTATTTTAATATGTTTACGAGTATTTCCCCCGCTTAAGCAAATTTTCTTAGCAACTACTCAATAAACCATTTTTTATACAAATTTTGAAAAATATTGAAACAAACAAAAAGTTATTTATAAATAAGCACAAGTTATTTAACTTTAGAGCATTTCATTTTCTGAATTAAACAGGTAAAAACAGCTTCCAGTTGAATCAACCTGATTAGGTTACTTTCAGAAATTCTTTTTGGGGAAAATATGTGAAAGAAACCCTGCCTTAATGAGATTATCTCTGAAAATTATATAATCTGTTTATAGCACATTCTGTTGTTGTTTTTAACTTATCAATGTTTTCACTTAACAGAAAAAAGAACATCAAGCAGTCCTTTCTCCTCGTTAGCACAGGACATTTCCACAAATCTACCAGAGAATTTAAGCCCATCTTACAATCATCCAATGAACTCACTGCCTAGATATAATGACCAGTATCATGGTTACCCACCACCTCTGAACATTGCACCAGTTCAAAGGTCAGGCTCAGGAAACAACAGTGTGATGATGGAAGTCAAAAGGAGAAAAAACAACATGACCACAGAGGAAACATTTTTCTTAAAACCAAAGACCAGAGTGGTCAGGAAGTCCCAGCGTTTGGCCATGGCCGGCAGATCCCCTAAACCTTGGTCCCTTCAGAAGTCTCTCAGCTGTACCAACGCTTACGATAAGGAAAATATAACCAGGGCGGCAGGAAAAGCAGTTAACCCTTTAGTTGCCAGCGCATGCAGTAATGATAATACTGCTGGTACCTTTATGAACAGTAAAGTCAATCTTCACTGTGGAGATGGGAGTGGTCAGCATGGCGCCCCAAAAGGCAATGTAAGATTAAATCCTTCTTTGCGATTTGAGAAGGATTTTTCAGATGATGAAGGTGAAATAGAGTTACGTCAATCCTTGGAAGGAAAGTCTAAAAATATAGCTGGGAGTAATGGTCAAGGTGAGTTTGTTACAAATACAAGTGAATAACTACAAAAGTAATGTAAAATGTAACCAGCATTATATTTGATATTTGAAATTTATTTTGCTACTATATAGAACCTATATATATATATATATATATATATATATATATATATATATATATATATATATATATATATATATATATATATATATATATATATATATATATATATATTTTATATATTTACATTATTTATATTATTATTCTATGAATTTCTAAACTATACATATGCAGCACCTTCTTAACCTAATAGGAAAAAAAATTTGAAACCAATGAAATTAATCTTTAATTTATTAACTTATTTCTCCTTGATTCCCCAGAATTTTCCTTCAGGTGGACTGTGATTGGTCTGATTATTGGTGTGAGTGTCACAGCTAATATCTTTATGATTTACTTGATGAACTTAAAGGCAGGGTGAACTAGTGGACCTGGCTGAGTCTGTTTTTAGCCATTGTTGCCTCTGTAGGTTTGATGTCCAACTGGGAAGAAAGAATCAATTATTTTGTTACATTTTAACTTTTATGTTTATGACATTCATGTTAAAAAAACCAGTGTTTTCTGGCCCAAAAAAATTTCTCAATCAAAGTGAAAAGCATTTATCATGTACCAAAGTGTATTGGTTGATGGATAGTTTGGTATAAGCTATATGGCAGCAGTCCTATGCTTTTTATGTTGGCTTTTTAAAAAAGAGTTGTAGTACTTGAGACTGATGGCTTCCCTCCCTTTGCTGTTTCCAACTATCTGTTTGAAACTGAAAGGTTAAGATTGATGTAATGATGATAGACTGGTTAGAGAATGCATACAACTGTGTATGAATCATTGTGACTTATTTGCTTTTGTACTATTGGCTAGATGAAACAAACTGGAGATGGTGTGGTTGATGAAAACTGGTCATGTTGTGGCTGTTGTTAGATAAAATGGACATGGTCTGGTTGATGCTTGATGAAAATTGGACATTTTCTGGTTGATGCTTGATGAAAATTGGACATTTTCTGGTTGATGTTAGATGAAAATTGGACATTTTCTGGTTGATGCTTGATGAAAATTGGACATTTTCTGGTTGATGTTAGATGAAAATTGGACATTTTCTGGTTAATGCTAGATGAAAATTGGACATTTTCTGGTTGATGTTAGATGAAAATTGGACATTTTCTGGTTGATGCTTGATGAAAATTGGACATTTTCTGGTTGATGTTAGATGAAAATTGGACATTTTCTGGTTGATGCTTGATGAAAATTGGACATTTTCTGGTTGATGTTAGATGAAAATTGGACATTTTCTGGTTAATGCTAGATGAAAATTGGACATTTTCTGGTTGATGTTAGATGAAAATTGGACATTTTCTGGTTGATGCTAGATGAAAATTGGACATTTTCTGGTTGATGGTGGATGTACCAAAACCAGCTGGTTTTGTGGATGTATTATTATCTTTCAGTGAACTGCTGTTAGCATAGGGACGGGATTAGTCTGCATGATGTATGGTAACTCTGGAACGATTTTATATTGTTGTTAGAATCTGCCGAGTTTTTTTTATTACAAGTGTAATTTTTTCATAAATGCCAAACTGTTGACAGTTTAATTTAAATATTCTATGTTGTTTTTTTAAAAACAATTTTTTGTTTGTCATTTTCTATGTAAAGCTTTAATATTGTTTTACATAATCAAAATGTTACAAGATCTGTAATACTTGTAACTGGAAATTATATCAAACTTCGAAGCATTGACCATAAGTATTTGCCACTTAGGTCTTCCATACACTGGGGTTGGGTTTTGGATTAGAATAATCCATAAAAACCCTCGGTGAGCTTTTTTAAAAAAACGTTGTTTACCTTAGCTTAAATACTTGGTAGTAGGCCACAGCATTAACAGCATTAACAACACATTTAACTTCCAACAAAGCTTTTAGTTAGAAGATAAACTAAAGCCACATCAAATGTATAATCACTTCTATACTTAACATCTTGTCTTTGTAAAGTTGTTATAAATGAGCTATGGAATATGTTGAGGAACAATAAAATATATCTTTTACCACACTATATCAGGCTTAGCTTTTTTGTTTTGTTTAGATCTTGGGTTACAATACAATACAGTTACAATAAGGCCTGAAAGACAGTTTACAGAGTTAGTACCTTAAGAACTGAAAGGTTACATAATTAAAACCATAATTAATTGGAAAAAACGATCACACAAATTGTCTTGAGAGTAGGCCTATATAGAACAATGTCCTGCACTTTAGTAGTTTGACTCACTTGACTAAATTCTGTGTAGCTTGGATGATTACAGCAGCTCATCTTATCCGTAGTATATCACACGCTTTACAATGAACGACGGCGTCTCTTTGCTCCGAGGTGAGCCCGGTTCGCCAATTTGAATTAGCACCCTGCTGGGGCGCTGCCCCGTGAAAACTATTGCTTTTTGTTTGTTTTTTTTTTGCAGAAATTTCCTCAGGGTTTAACACTTTGTTACACCGAAATAGAAAATGTTACGGGATAGTAACTGGTAAGAAGCACCGCAAACCTTTCCAACTTGGGAGAGGAGGGGGGGGGGCGCTTTTTTCACAAACAGGAATAACTATAATATAGAAATGGTAGGGATAATCCGCCCCGTGCGCCGAAATAGGTCGCTACGCCCCTGACAGCAACCTATAGAAATAAACCGGGAGTGATCTCCCCTAAACTTTCTCGAATATTCTAATATAACACTACGTGGGATGTCAACTCGGAATATAGACATGATTTTTGTTTACTTAAACTTTTAAAAATAGAATAAAATCTAGTAGAAAAATATTATTAGTACTTTATAAATTTACATGCGTTTTTTGAGAAATCGGAAATAGCGTAAATTAGTACTTCCGATCAACGGAAATTACTCAAAATTTGACAGAAGGTAGAGAATTAGATCTTTTACTTACATGTGAAATTTCATTTATCTATCTTAATTAGTACTCAAGTTATAGGCTTTTGAAAAATTAAAAGTAGAAAAAGTACCACTTCCGGTTATCGGAAATCGCTCAAAAGTTGATACGGATCTACGATTTTGATATAATACTTATATATGAAATTTCATCAACCTAGCTGTAACGGTACTCAAGTTATCGTGTTTACACACGGACACACACACGGACAGAATTGGATAATACAGTTTTTCCAACTCCATTACGCATAAAACGCCAAAAATTTTATATATCTGTGTTTATAATTTTTTGCCCGATTAAAATAAGTCTTCTATATCCCGGATGTGATGAAGGACTGAGGAGTAAAACGGTGAAAACTGTCCAAATTTAA